GGCGAGATAAACAAGAGTCATTGATTTCTAATAGCCTTAGCGTTACATAATCGGGAGTATGACACAGAAATTCATATAGTCTCCTGTAAATTAGGTATAGCAGTCATACTTTTTCAGAAACTGCGAAGTGGTAAGCTCAAACTCGTAATATATTTTAGTAGCGTAACAACAAAAGAAGAAATGATTTATTATAGTTACGAGTTGGTAACACTAGCGGCTGTTGAATCTCTGAAATGTTTTAGGATCTACATCACGGGCATACGTTTCAAGGTCGTAACGGACTGCTCAGTACTACGGAAGTACTCTTAGAAAACGAGATTTGGTACCTAGAATCACATGTTGGTGGCTTCAAATACAAGACTTTGATATGGGGTTGGTGTATGGCCCCGGTAGTAATATGCACCACGTTGACGCACTTAGTCGCAATCCGGTACCTGAAATTTTAAATGTAGAAATCACTGAAGATTGGTTCTTGACAGATCAACTCCAAGATGAACAGCTACAATCTATTTTCAATCAGCTTAAGAGCGGTAATCCCAACAAGGACTTAAACAATAATTATTGTATTAGAGATCATCGCATTTATTGGCAAACACTGAATGGCGAACGTCTTGCTGTACGCAAAGCTGCTCGTTGGCGGATAATGAAAATGTTTCACGATGATATCGATCATGTAGGTTTGAAAAGATGCGAAGAAGCTATTAAGGCAGACTACTGGTTTTCGCGAGCTTGTACATATAATATAGATCATATTGGTGATCATTGATTAATTTACCAAATTTATAGCGGTAAAACGAACAAAAATTACCCGTTCCGTAGAAACAGTCTTAGTATTACGTGAAATATTAGCTATCCTTGACTATCCACACCGCATTATATCTGTTAGAGGACTGCCCTTCACGTGTAGATACTTCAAGGAATTTTGCATAGCTCATAAAATCCATCACACTCTAAAAATTATATCTGTACCGTGCGCCAATGGACAAGTGGAACGGGTTAATAGGAATTTGCTAGATGCCTTGTGGACAAGTACACATATACCATCTACATGGGATGCTACAATTCCTGAAATTGTCATGGGATTCAATCACGCAATACATGATACAACTGAATACAGTCCTTACGAACCTATGTTTGTACACACGAACAGCTAGTGCCTGATTTAACTGGTAATAGTCAGATATCTTGTAAAGAGAAGCGAAAAAGGGCAAGTGTAAAAATAAGAAGAAAACAAACATATAATATGGAGACCATGTGGAATGAAGGTAGAAAGGAAGCTAAGAAATATAGAAAGGGAGAATTCATCATCATCATCATTAGAGCCCTTCACAAGTCCACTGCTGAACATAGGCCTCCCCCAAAGAATGCCACAAAGCACGGTCCTGAGCCACCTGCATCCATCGACTTCCTGCATATCTTACCAGGTCGTCACTTCATCTAGTGGGGGACGCCCTACACTTCGTCCGTCGGTACGAGGTCGCCATTCGAGATCCTTTTTTCTCCATCGGTTGTCGGTTTTTCGAGCTATATGTCCGGCCCATTGCCACTTCAGCTTACTAATCCGTTGAGGTATATAGGTCACTCTGATTCTACTGCGGATATCCTCATTTCTAAGTTTATTACGCAGAGAAACCCCGAGCTTAGCCCTCTCCATAGCTCGCTGAGCGACCTTGAGCTTCCTCACGGCCAGCAGTGAAGGACCACGTCTCAGTTCCATATGTCATCACTGGCAACACGCACTGGTTGTACAGTTTCGTTTTTAAGTTTTGAGGTATACCTGACGAAAAGACGTGCCGTAATTTCCCAAACGCTGCCCAACCGAGTGTCCAACGACTAGTGTTGTGGAATAATACGTTCACAAACTCAGAGACTGGCGATGCATGCCTTATAAAATTATTCAAGTGTATGTTAACGATTGTTACAAGATTCCTAGAGTAACGGGGATGAAAAGCTATAAGAGTTTCAATGCAATGGCAGCAATGGTAGCTGACTCATTGCGGCCGTACAGAAGTTATGTCGGTTATGAAACAGATTCTGATGATAGCGATAAAGAAGTGGTGGACACACAAGATCTGATTGATCTGTTAGAGAGTTAATCCGTTGTGAACTGTTGGTAATCGAAGTACCTACATAAGTCATTTCAGCTGTAGCAAATATTTTGAACGTTATCTAATGCCTCTTCGTGAATACCTTATGGTACTGGTCTTGTTAATAATAACTTGAGTGTTGAAAGTATTAAATGTAACTCAAGTTAAAAGTAAAAGTTAAAGTTGCAGCCTATTTACGTCCCACTGCTGGGCACAGTCCTCCTCTCATTTCTGAGAGGGTTTTAGGGCAAGGAAATGTCCGCCGCGCTGCCCCAGTGCGTGTTGGCGAACTTCACATGTCTTCGAAATATTTTTTTTCTTATTTCTCAGACATGCAGGTTTCCTCACGATGTTTTCCTTCACCGCCAAGCACGTGGTAAATCAGCACTTAAAATTGCAATTAACAATTTCATTGGTGCCGGCGGGGATCGAACCCGGGTTGCTCGAGTACTGTGTAAGCTTACAGCGAGCGCTAACCATCTGAGCTACCACGGCTCCGATGTATTGTTAAATGTATTGAAGCATAAAGAATAGTTTATTTTACAATAATTACCTTCATTACTGCCCTTCATGAATCTACTTATTGAACATATGCCTCCCCAAGAAATGCTAGAAAAGATCCTGAGCCGACTGAATCCATAGACTTCCTGCATTTCTTACCTGGTAACTCCATCTAGTGGGGGGGTCTGCTCTACACTTCAATTGTGACTACGAGGTCGCCACCCAAACCCTTTCTTCCCCATCACTTGTTGGTCCTTTGAGTGACATGGCCGGCCTATTGTCATTTCAACTTACTGATTTGTTGGGCTACATAGTTTACTCTAGATCTACAGTGGATATATAGATAGAGACTATTGAAATCATAAAACATCCTAATTTCATTAGAGAAAATAAAATTAAGCTCAAGCATACAACTGCAAGACTTTCAAGATACTATAAGTTCATACTGTGTAGATTTGAACAGAAATTAATTATTTGAATCTGGAGGTAGCCATGGTTAACTATGACATTGGGACGACGAAAACCTCAGTCTCCGTCGTGACCATAGGTGCTGTAAAGTTCTCAAAACGTAATATAAAATAAGAAAATATGTGCAATAAAATTCGTGAAAACTAATTTTATTTAAATGTGTAGTGTTCACATAAATATTATAAGAAATCAAAGTGAGAACTGTAATCTGAATTAGTGACTTATTTAACATTGGTTTACTGTATAGATGATCCCTTAGCCTAGATCCATCTCAAGAAGTATCTTTTATTCTTCTCAGAAAGAAAGTGAATTGTAGAGAGGACTGGGACTCTGACTAGAGCCACTAGATGTATTAAAAGGTGCAGGAAGTCAATAGTTGCAGGTGGCTCACGACCATGCCTTGTTTCATTACTTGGGGAAGACCTATGTTCAGCAATGGACTTGTGAAGTGATGTAATTATAACTATGATGATGAATAAAATAGATCACACCTTGAATTTATTACACTTTTCTTCATCAGCATGTTACACAGTATATTAATAGGTCTAGGATGTTTGTAATTTTCACCATTATCATCATCATTATCATTATAGCCCTTTAGAAGTCTAATGGTGAACATTGGCCTAATATTAAATAATGATATTTTTCTTATATTGAGGGTGGTTGTATTCATTTTAAAATAGAACAAAAATCAAAAACACTCCTGTTTATACACTGGATGGATGGGTTCTAATTATAGGGATGGCAAGAACTAAATAGCCTTACATGACTGCATGTCTTTTTAAATTGCAACTGTTCGGCTCTTCAGTTTATAGCAGAAGCAAAAAGAACAAACAAAGTCAGTAAATCCTTCCTGAAGTTCCAAAGTGTCAAGATGCAGTATTTTTTTTTATAGGAGAGGGGGGAATATAGCGTTCAATATCGACATGAAAACTCAAAATCATTTTTATAAAAACTGATTATAATAGTGAAGGCTTCACTGAGCTAAAATTGAAGGCAAATAAAAGGAAAAGTAACTGTATAATACCTAAATCTGCTTACAGTGGTCGATTGCCTATTTCAAAAGCAAAAAAGACAGATTTCGTATTATTGTGCCAGGATCTCCTAATATATATCGTTTATAAACATTTATTCTTCATTTTGATTCATAATCAAGAATAACCTTTATTCAAGGATGATAACCTTAATTGGAAGATGTCAAAGAAACTAGAATTTTAAAAATAGCACAATTATTCCCAAAATAAACTTTGTATGAGTAATTAATAAGAACTCATACAAAGTTTTTCAATAACATCCTCTCAATTAGAATGAAAAACCTTCCAGAAACTGTGAACATAAATAAGCTATACTATAAGTATTCCATTCATATCAGAAAACCTCAATAAAAAATAACTGTGAAGGCTGTGATGGGAGCTGAGTTAAGCTTCACTCCCATCACAGCCTTGTAACCTATTTCAACAGAGGATTTCTGAGTCTAAAGTATATAATAATAATTTCTTTATTGTTTGTAAGCCTAATTTACTAAGAGAGTATAGACAGCAGAAGAATAAAAATACCATAGAAGTATAATAATGTGACACAAGTCTTCAACATGGTCTTACGTCCTTTTCGCACTTACACAAAATTATGTATGCTATTCAGCTTTCACAGTAATATTGCGTTCATTTTTCCGTGTTTTACCCATTTATAGGTTACAATATTTTTGATTTTATTTTCTCGAAAACAGTGCATTACCTTAAAACGCGAGTGGTATTGTTATAATCGAGGACCAAACCTCTACCAAATACAGCACCTCACTCCCCCAAACTCCGGCCACACGATTGTAAACCCAACCCAAATAATGTATTAAAATATAGTAAAATTTCTGTTTAATGTTTATATAAAAAGTTGAACAGAAAATTTACATGCTATTGGAACAAAGTAGATAGATCAAAAATTACAGACCTTGTCATGTTTCAACCAAGTTTCAACTGCTGAATCTAATTTTGCATCACCACTGTTGCAGACAGTCATTTTAGCTCCACCCGGTATAAATCTTAGTATTTGAAAAATAAAGAATAAAACGTTGATTGAACTAAGATGATAATATAATATCTTAATAAAGGAAAAGTTATAAGCGAAACACTTCTTACAGAATCCTCTACACTTTTCAACTTTTTGTAAATTAGAACTAATAAATGACAATTGAACAACTAATCTAAGCAATTTATGGTAAATTCGATACCTACTATTATTACATATGTCAATGTCAAATGTCAATGTCGACTAGAACTTCAGCTGATTTCAGGAGGTTCGCATTTGGGGGCCTACCATTAAAAACTAATTAGATTACTGACTTGTGGTGTACTTTGGGGAATACATATGTCCAGTGGTGTACTTCTGAAGGCTTTAATGATAATGATATTGTTAATATAAATTTCATTCGTTCCATAAATAACCCATCTCGCTCTCACACATTATATTAAGATCGAGATACAACAACGTTAGAACCGGTGTTTTTATTTATTTATTACATTAGACTTACTATTTTATCTGATAACAGAAATAATCTATTTCAAAATATTTAGAGTACAAAAAATAAGGGTGCTTGTGCATACACCATGAAACGATCTCAATCCGTTAATTGACGCCCACCAAATATATGACGGTTAATAAAGGAAAACCAGGGCGCGTCTACAGACGTGAAACTTGAACGTGGCAGAATCCGACTGCTAGCCGAATGAAATGACAGGTACTGCACGAACACACAGCAGCCTCTCACAACCTACACAAACCACAACTATCCCCGCTAGCTGTCGTGGTGTCTTGTGTACGGCGCATGCGATGGACAATTCAAATGAATGAGAATGCTTTGCGGGCGTACTTAAGGGTGAAAGGGCGTGAAATTGTAGGTTTTTCGTACCAAGCTAGGATACGTCGCTTTTTTGCATGGAACCATCTATTGCCGTCACCGAGCAAAACCCGACAGACCGAGTTCGGTACATCATTCATTAAAAATGTTATAATAATAATTTAACTAAAGTTTAGCCCTGGCTACATAAAAATTGCAACGATAATAAGTCTACGTCGTGTCATGAATTTCAAAATAGACAATATTTCGATTTTTTTTCTTTGGTAATAGACTAGTACAGTAGTTTTTTTGCCATTGACAAGATTGATTGATAATTTATCACTTAAATAATGAATTTAAAAACTTTTTTACGATATGTTGATGCGATGACTTGTAAATTTTTTGAGAGATTTTAACGTATCAAAATCCACTTTAACCAATAAATAACCAAATAAATTTAAGGGAAAAAAGTTAAAATTTATAATAAGGGGGCCAACGTAAGGATGAAATTTGTTAAATTAATTATAAATAATTAAAAGACGACCGAATCATTTTTATATCCGAACAATAACGAACGAACAAACTACAAAAAATTAATTAAAAAACTCAAAAATAAGAAATATAAAATTCAAGTGTCAAAAACCAAAAAACTCAAATGTCAAAGATTTACTGTCAGAGTAAAAACTTTTCGTTTACTATGGCAATAACTACATGCTGTTTTGTCATATAAAGGCTCTTGAAATATTGAAGAGAAGTTGCCAATATGCAGAGGCGTAACTAGGATGGGGCAGTGGGGCAAATAGGGCACATGCCCCAGGTGTCTTTCAAAGGGCAAAATCACCAATTATTAAATTTAAAAATTAAATAGGCGAATAAGTAGTGTGGGCATGCAGTGAATTTGTAAGTTGAAAGTTTTCGGGGCTTTGGATTAGAGCACGAAGGTGACGGAGAGTTGACTTCATTAGACGTAACCTCTCCAACTTTACGTTTTGATTCAGTGTGCCTCGCGGCCAGTTTTCACCTTGGCGATCATTGAGACGTCACTGAACAGTTTTTCTGCCGACTTCCAAAAAGGAGACGGTACTCAATTCGACTGTATGTTTTTTTATGTGTGTTACCTCATAACTTTTTACTGGGTAAACCGATTTCGATGATTCTTTTTTTATATGAAAGCTGATACTTCTCGTGTGGTTCCATATGAATTTGATCAAGGTCAGACCAACAGTTTTTGAGTTATTCTTAATAACTTATATCGAAGTCGGCTGTACAAATTTTTTTATTTTAAATTATTTAAACCTATTTCTAGGATCCCATACCACGGGTACTCCAATCCATCGCTATAGGTACGTCATCGTATTTTTATTGTTTAGTATTATTTTTTTATAATAAAAATAATAATAACCTGTAACAAAGTTCACGGGTCAAGCTAATAATGACGAGTATGTAAATACCGATACGAATACACACGAGCATTCCTTTGACTCTTTCTAAAAACCGACATTGAGTGGAGAACAGGCGAATACTCAGGCCATAAAATATAAGTTATACAACATGTTAGGGTGCGTACAAATCAGACGTTTGGATTAAATGAAATAGAAATTCCGAAAGAAGAGGAAATAGATAGAGACATAAGTATAGATGAAATAATGAAAGCAATGAAAAGTATGAAAGCAGGTAAGGCAGCCGGATGTGATAGAGTATCTCTCGAAATGCTAAGGGCTGGAGAAGGAGTGGTGGCAAACCTGCTGTACACCTTGGTTAATTAATGTTCTGAACCTAAGCGGGTACCGGGAGACTGTTGCAAAGCCGTAATAGTCCCAATATATAAGGGAAAAGGATCACAGCAGGGCTGTAAAAACTACCGTAGTATCAGCCTTCTTAGCATCGTGGGAAAACTATATGCTAAGGTACTAATTGAAAGAGTTATGAAAGAAACTGATGGAAAAATTTGGGATGTGCAAGCGGTGATTTAGAAAGGGAATAGGACGGATCAGGTCTTTTCCATGCGCATGGTCGCGGAGAAGTTTTTGGCCAAAAACCATAAAGTTTTTTGTGCCTTCGTGGACTTGGAAAATGCTTATGACAGAGTGGACAGGGATGTGTTATGGCAAACACTGAACTCATTTGGGTTGAGCGCTGGGTTGATACAGGCATTGAAGTCTCTATATAGGGACTCTAGTGCTTGTGTCAGGATCAACGGGGCCTACTCGGACTGGTTTGGCATCCATTAAGGTGTCAGACAGGGCAGTGTGGCTTCCCCGCGGCTGTTCAAGCAATTTGTCCATAAATAGTTTCTTTGAAAAATTTGAGAGTAGAAGAATGCGGGTTAAGAATGGGTGAGTTAACCGTCAAATGCCTTTTGTATGCCGATAATCGAGTCATACTTGCGTCGTCGGCGGCCGAGTTGCAAATGATGGTTACATTAATGAACAGAACATTAAAAGAAAAGGGAATGAAAGTGAATGCAAGTAAGACGAAAGTTATGGTTTTTAAAACAGAAGAAAGTAAAACGATACGTGAAATAAGAATAGAAGGGGAGTTGGTCGAGCAAGTAGGTGAGCTTGTGCATTTAGCAGGGATGGTAGATATGATAAGGATGTAGAACGACGAGTGAACGCAGGAAATAGAGTGAATGGGGCTCTACACCCTATTGTGAGAAGTCAGAATGTGTCCAAAAAGGCACGTATAGCAATTCAGAATGCTGTGTTAGTCACTACTTTAATGTATGGTAATGAAAGTTGGGTGTGGCAGAAGAAGCACGAGATTAGAATAAATGCTGTAGAAATGCGATCATTAAGGAGTATGTTAGGGATGAATCTGAATGAGAAATTGTGTAATAAGAGAAGAGTGTGGTTTGCAAAATGATATTGTTACCAGGATTAAGTAGGGAATGCTTCGGTGGTTTGGGCATGTAGAAAGAATGAATGAGGAAAGACTAACAAAGCAAATTTATGTTGCAGAGGTGAACGGCAGAGTCGGGAAGGGACGCCCTAGGCGAAAGCTTATCGATAAAATTGGCGATATATTGCAAATGGGCCAAATCAAGAGTACCTTTAATCGACGAGCGTGTATGCGTAGGTATATGGATGTGGAGGAAGCGAGAGAGGTGTATCAGGATCGGGCCAAATGGAAGTCCATAGTCTTGCCTACCCCTCTGAGTGACAGGTGTGAGTGTTTATGTTATGTTTTTAACAAAATTGCATCCTCGTATTAAAAGATATTTAGGGTAAAAATCGATATTTTATAATTTTAAAGGGCATTTGAACCAGTTTTTAAATGAAAACATTATTAAAATATTGCATGCCGTAAGCGCCTAAGCGTGTCGGTATGTTCTACTAGGGCCTAAAAATTAAGATTTCAACGTTTTGTCCCATGAAATCGTATCTAGCAATCATTATGTACATATAAGTGATATAAAAAGCACATTGTCAGAAAGATGATTGTTGAAGTTATTAATTTTTTTTAAATCGATTAATTGCTATTTTTAAATAAAAGAAGGGGTTTTAGTGGCTTATGGTGTTGATTTATCAAGTCTGCAAGGCTTGTAAACACGATAACTTTTGAAAACATCAACTGTTCAACTCAATATATTTTTAAAACTCTTCATCTATCATGTGGGAAGCCATTAAATGTAAATGGCAGTTTCATTTTGTTTAGTTTAGTTATAATAAATTTTTTTCGGCTGCGAAATGGTGAAAGTTTCGTTGTTTTCAGCAGCCTTGTATGTAAATTATTACTAAAAAAAATTGGTAAATCCAATTGGGCATGCCTTAAGCCCATTAAAAAAATTACCATGATTATACGGAATTTTTTAAAGTAGTTTAAATAAAAGACACTATTTAGGCCAATTATTAACCTTTGAAACTTGAATTCATGACGCGCGCGCGGCGCGTTCATTCGACGGTACCAATCACCACCTGGTACCCCCGCTCTCGTCCGCATTCCATTCGAGGGCGCGGCCGCCGAGTTAGTATGGAAAATAATTGTTGCGCGACAGACGGTATTGTTAAAGTCTAAAAAAGTTTTGTTGCGCTGTGGCCGGGCGCGTGCCTCCTATTAAGTTGTCTTAATTGTACGTTTCGTGATAACCCAACCATCTTACAGTGGCCTAGCGGCCAGGGAAGCGCCCCCCTGCTCCTACTGTCGCGCATCCGATCACAGGGTGACGTCGTGCCCGAAGTTA